CAGATAGCATGAACCCTAGATCCTACCTGCTTTGATTTTGATATATAAATGTAGCAGTGAATAAATTTTCAAGAAACCCTCATATTATAATGTAGATTCCCAACTGAGTTTCTGATTCAAATCTGACATGAAGACTACTGGATCAATGATCAAATGCCCCATGTGTGCAAAATCTCAATGAATCCCAGGAAGATATGTCTGTCCATTTTCAATGAGATCATAAAATGTTAGATGGTGTGCATGCATAGGACATGTTTCTAGTTCATATTAGACAATTTAGTTAATGCACAATACTGTCTCTTTAAAAGATATATCATTTGTTTCTTGTTTAATAACAATGCTACTTGTTATTGTTTTTTTTTCCCCTTAATACAAAGTCAACCAAAATTAAAACAACATTATAAGCTTACAGCAAAGAATAACGATCGAATTAATCCAGAATTTTTGCATCTAATTTTTTTTTTTCAGATCACTTAGTAAATTAAGATGTCATTATACAGTCTTTCTTCTTCAATGATGTTGAAGAAGAGCCATAGCCTGGATTATTATTGTACAGTTTTTCTCTCTCACAACATCTTTACTGATAAGTGGAACCAAGAAAAAGAAAACAAAATGGTTTCTAGAAAAAAAAAAAAAAACAGTGCAACATAAAAAAAAATGGTTTCTTGAAAACAGCTACATCTGCAGCTCAAAGCTGGCTGACATATGCTTGGGCACAATAATTTATTTGGATTAGGCAATATACTAATGGATCTTCCCTATTGCTCTTAAACTCTCTAATCATAGTTAATCTTAGCATTGGATTAGTAATTCAAATCTTTTAATAGCTACTAATCTAGATTTTAGTTGAACCAGATGGCTCGGTTTCTAAGATATTACTTGTTCTAGACCTTGATTAAACAATTATTTTTGCAAAGGATTACGCAAATTGAGTAGGCAGACCTATGATTGCAAGATAAAGATAGGACAAAGCCAGGAAATACGAATATTTCTTGCTTTTGCCAATCAAGCTGACAGAATCTTCTTGGTAAGTTGAAGATTTATTTTATTTTATTTTATTTTTGGTCTCATTCAACGTAGATTAATAGAATAAGTTTATGGACTTATTTGAATAATTTTTATGTTAGTATAATTGTTCCAAATTATCTACTGGTTTTTTTTTTTTATAACTCGTTTCTCGTTTGGGCTTTCGTCCTATTAATAGAAAAATTAAAATATTAAAACTTGTCTCCTAGTTTTCTTGCAATTACACATTAATTCAACATATTTCAGAACACTTCTCATATTAATGCTTTGTTTGGATTGCATTTTTCTGGATTTTTTTGTAGAAAAGTTACTATAGCGATTTGATATATATGAGGTAAAAAGGTGATTGAAAAATGTATTCACGAAAAACGTAACAATTTTTTTTTTGGAAAATTGCTTTCCAAACAAAGAAATCCATGTTTGAAGTTAGTGAATTTCACACAAACAAATTACAAATTTCTTTCATTTTTTTTCCCAAGCATGTTCCCAGATTACCCCCTTTTTTTTTTTGTAGCACACACGCTCTTTCTCATGAAGTGTTACTGCATTTCTTTTCTAGAAACTCACTCCAAGATGAAGATTGTTCTTGCATACCTTTTCTTTAAAAAAAAAAAAAAAAACTTTTAGGCAACTGCTATTGCATTCATATCCTAAATACATGTTTTCTCATTATTATTTACATCATTGTTTGTCAGAAGATTTCAAGCACATTCTTGATAATTCCATGCAAGATTTGTTTAGAAAGCATCTCAACCTTTTTAAGTAGATAGTGTATAGTTATCTATTAATAACAGGCATCGTAATTCATGGAAAGAGTTGGATTAAGACTCAGACGTAAAATATACAATGGGTGTGTTTGGATACACAAATTATTCCAAATATTAATTTGATTGTATCATAACACATTTTTAACCGCTTTTTTATATTCCTAACTACTTTTTTATCTCACATATATCACATCACAAAATATTTTACGTGATAATATTTTACATTATATTTTACAAAATATTCCTAACTCTACAATAATTATTTCAAATAATATTTTACACGATAATTTGATTAAAATAATTAAACAAGTAAATTTCCAAATTGCTACCTCTAGAGTTATCTCACAAATACTTTAGCTCTTTCATTATTGTTAACAAGAAATTATGGTAATTATCCTGAAACTGGAAGCAAGCAAGACAGCTTGCAAAGCAGGTATTGCTGATGTTAGGACGTAAGACCTCATGTCACACCCATCTGTACTCCCAAGTAGATCAATTAAAAAACTAAGAGTTTATATCAATCTCCTAACCATTTTTTGGTGGTTTAACTAAAAAAGAATTAATAAAAGACTGTAGCAGTTGAAGAAAAATAATGCTTCCTTGCTTTATTATTTTTAATTTCTGCATCCAGAGTAATAATAGACAGGCCAGACAACATGCTAATTCTCTAGCCTAATAATGGTCTACTAGAAGGGAATATTCCAAATTCCCAATTAATTTTTCTAACAAGAGAATTAACAACTATTTAATTGATTAGCCCTTAAATACATGCAAGCATGCATGTTCATGCAATAAGCATGATGATGTAATTGAGGAGACTAGATGCTTAGGTGATGTACTCCAATGGACCTTCTTCACTAAAGTCCAATACCCTATTGGCCTATTCCTCTCTTAGTACTAAAGCATATCTGTCATTGAATTGGTACCACCATGGGACTAGTATCCTAGAAGAAATTGTTGTCCAAAGTCGCTGGACAGAGGACTACACCATCCAAATTTCCAACTCATTTGGTATTAACAAATTTTTTTTTTTTTTGACTAAAGATGCTACAATTGCATTTATTCTTTTTGTTTTATACTTCTTTTTTTCCCTAAAAAGAGGAATGGCATGGAGAATTGGAGATGTGAGAAGGCAGCATAACTTGAGTGAAGTTTCCAAACTCATTCTTTCAAAAGATATTTCGCCATTTACATATATTTTAGTTACCAATATTCTGTATGTGGTTCAAATTGATCCTTCAAATTTTTAGTTAGCTGCTTAGTTTACACATAGTTAAGAACAATTGAGGGTTTTGCTATAGATCAATTTGGGCAAAATTTGGTGCGCAGTACAACTTAGGTGGATGTTGATGCAAAGTTTGGGTATGGAGGGTTTTTTTCTTTTTATTTTTTCTTTGGTGAAAATGAAAATTTAAGAATCTTCTTCTATGATTTTCATTACACCATGATGTTCTCTATTTTTCTCACCTTCTGCAATTGCAACAGATAATTTGTTCACATGTGTTCTAGTAATTGATTTCCCTTGCTTTGCTTGAGAATTAGTATAGTTTTTCACGTTTTTATTTTTTTTTCTTGGCTTGAGGTAGTTGGGATTTTTCCTTCCCAAAATTCTCCACACCAACGCCAATGTGAGACCCTCGTCCAAAATTGGAGCAAACCTATCAATTGTGTATGACTGCTAGAACTTGGTTAGGTAAAGGACTAAATTGGTTTTGGGGAGTAAAACTGTATTTTGTGATTCTCATGTTGTAGTTTACTAAAGCCATCAAACATCTCTATTCAAACTATTAAGTTTACATGGTTAGCCATGACCATCTAAATTAATTATAAAAAACTGACACCTTCTTAGTTACCATCAATGGAATTCTGATTCTTTCACATGTTATTAGAGTTGTACAAATAGTTAGATTCTTTATCGATCTATATAATTATATTTGTCTTCTCAATAACAAAGAGTTGTCATCTTATGGTTTTATACTTAAATGAAGATTATGATATGGATCGTTTATCGTGTTATTGCAATCCATCACTTTGGTTCTAAAGTAATTCAAGAAGTATATCGAGAGGAAGGGATAGGTTGGGTGATACATGAGAAAGGAATGTAAATAAAATGTCCTGTCCTCCTGGATTCAAGACCTCTAGGCTCTAACTTATGCTAAAGAAAAAACAAAAGTATGTCGACATTTGGGAAGAGGGTTAAGTTGGGTGGTAAGACGGGATAAATTGTAAGTAGGAGATCCTGAATTCAAGATCTCTCACTTAAAAAAAAAAAAAAAAACTATGTCAATAACTTAGTCTCATTATGCTTTCCTCCAATGCCTATGAAACACAGGGTATATTATCCTCCAATTAGCCAAAACATTAGAATTAAGAAGCTATTCAAAGTCCAAGAAAAATTAAATAAAAGTTCTTGGAAATGAAGTTTCAAGGGTAGGTCACTATAGTTTTCCAAGAGATGATAACTCGATATCTCACCAAATCAAATGCCCACGTCAAAACTTCGTTTTGACATGTAATGTGCATTTTAAGGAATGAGTTTTATATTAGTTCGTAAAGACTTGATCAATTAAGCAGAGTAATTTTTGGTCGAATGATTTTCATTGGAGTCAATTCAAAGTCATTATACCATTATAAGAATTTGGTGTCGCTTATCCAAAGTAATAAAGTAGATGTAGAGCTATTGAATTTGGAAAGCTTGAATTTTACTTATTTGTTCTTGGTTGTTGGTTAATGAAGGTTAGTACTTGTAGGTGTGTCCATATAGAATAAAATTAATCTCAGCCAGAATCTTAGTAAAAGAAAGAAATGTCAGATAAAGAACAAAAGTTAGAGATGGTAGGTTGGTATTAGGTGGTAACTGAGAATTCAAGATTTGAGTCAATCACATCAAATCTAGACTTGGTATCAAGCATGCCACTCGAACAATTCCACATTCGTTTGTGGTCATTAATCTCTTTGAAATTCCATGTTTCTTTTAGTTCAACTCTTTGGTAGAATAATATCGTTTTCAGTAATCCCATGTTTTTTTTGCCCGTTGTGTCCACAACAGGATTAATTTCATTCACGACTATATACTTCTCCTGTCTAAAAGCTCAGGGAAAAAGTCCACTCTTCGTGGAATAATATGACCTCAACATCTAACAACATCTAATAATGCAGGCTAAAAAAGTACCCTTTTCTTTGAAGCGTGTGCTGCTTAAAACTGGTACGTGCATCTTTTTTAGCCTGCAATATCTTTGACTTGATGCGCTATGAAATCATAGCCCAGCATGTAACATGCTTTCGAAGAAGAAGAAAAATTTAAGGTCGTGAAAATTTTCGTGTAAAACGTAATGTGTGTAATGCATGTTATTTGTCTATTTGTGTTTGTAGTGACCAGAGATGACATATTTGTTAAGTACAGATGGTCAATCATGCATTTAGTTCTGGTACTTGATTTTGATTGCTGACAGCAAATTTGTTAAAACATACATGCCATGCCAATTGAATGCTAAAATCATGCTTTGTTTCTAGAAATGTTCCTACTCAAAGGCAACCACTTATTGGGTAAAGCAATGTGCCCTCAAGGATCAGAGTTTGCAGTAGTGTACTTCTTATCTGCCATCATCAGAATGGTTGGGGAAAATTGCTGGATTAACTTGTCTTCAAGAAGGTTAATGGCTTCATCTTCAGGAAGTGTGATCATAACTACGCGACTAAATGAACCCTCAGCCAGTGGTGATGGGAGGACTAAAATCATTCCCTCTCCTACTGTTGGTTCAATGTAATAAGATGCATGAATTGGCTTGAAATTGTCTTCAAAAATGGCTGAATATGAATCCACATGCTCTAGATCAACACAAATGAGATCATAACCATTCATCAAGCAAGAAAATTGATCTGCTTTTCCTTCCATCCACTCAATCAAGTTCATGATCCCTTCTGCATCCATTGTATCCACCACTTCTCTTATTGCATTTGCTGCTTTAGAAAGTTCATATTCTTCTATACCATCTCCAGGTACCTGATTATAAACCATGCAGTTCCCAAAGAAGCCTTTGTCCAAGCCTAGAACTTTTCTCATGTCCAAACAAATAGACATGCTGATTAAACCATTTTTTAGGCCTTTGATTTTGCTTATGCCAACCCAAAATAGTCCAGCAAGGGCTTGAAAAGGCGTTGGGCTTGGCTCATCAGGTGACCCTGGTGCATGGCTCATGGCTATGCAACTTCTGACCATTTCATCACTGAATGCTATTTTTATAGTTGTTTGTTTTGCTTGAACCACTGGGACTGGTTTTTCTAGAGTTGATTTGTAATAATTTATCAATTCAGGGAAGGGTTGGGGGTTAGTGGTCTCATTGCATTGTCTTCTTCGTGGCAATCTGTGAAATAGTGGAGGAGTTACCATCTTCCCATTCAAAGTCATGTCAGCCCATGCTTTGATGAATATGGTAACACATATGGGATCAGAAAGTAGGTGACCACAGCTCAAGCCAATTGCAAGTCCCCCTTCTTCGAATTCAGTTAGCTGCGAATAACCACGGAAAAAAATGAATTAGGGAATTAGATGATTGAAAAAGTGGCATTTGTTGTAAAGATTACAATTTAATGAATACAATTCAAGCAATGAAGCTGGTCCAATTTCACCTGAACATAAAAGGTAGACCAGAAATACAGCTTGTGAAACATTGGCTCCCAGTGTGCAAGGTTGAGCTCCTTCTCCCTGTCAAAATTCTGCAGCCATTTGTCCACGCTCCCTTTTGCTCTTGCCTCTACCATTCTTACACCTGCATCATTACACTTGATCATCCAATGCCCTTCTGCTGTCTTCAGTAACCGTCCCGTCATAATGGGATAAGCAGAAAGCAACTCAGCTAATGATTCTCTTAGCATTTTAATCGATTCCCCAGCCTTCCTCTCTTTGGGGCACCGATAATAGAGCACAACGCGCACATGATTGTGTTCCATAATGCGGTCTAGAACTGATAGAGGGCAGAATTTTCCTGCTTCAACTGGCTTTGTGCTCACTACTGTTCGTTTGCAAATCCATGAAACTTCAGCCATTTCTGAATTTTTCTTGAGTCCTTGCAGTTTTCTCAAGCCTAATTCTTTATGTAGGATGGCATTGCACCAATTGCCCTGTATTTTTCAGCTAACAGAAATAACAACCCGGAAATGACTTCTTCATGACCTCTTTCCAAGTATCCTCACAGTAAGTTGTTTCCCATCAGTAACTCAAAGTTGGTTAAGCAATCCCATGAAAGTAACAAAAAACAAGATAAGGGACCTATAAACTATGCTTGAGTTGCACTGTTTGTTAGGGGAATAAAGTCTTTATGTCCTCATTTCTTGGTAAAACCTCTCTTCATGAACAAAAAAAGGCCACTATTTCCAGGTACTGAAAATCAGACGCTGAACTAATATTGCACCAAAGTTCCATATATTTGTTTTTTTATCGGTTAAATTTGTTGTGCTATAATCCTGCATTTAAATAGCCAAACAGCATATTCAATGCAAATCCTACGATCTATGCGTACATCAATCAAAATCAGAACCTCTTAACGGCAAAGACAAATACAAGACTAAGAAGTAACAACTACTAAAAAATGGTTTTATCAAACTGTCAAGCTATACTCAAATTCAAATTTGCTTTACAATTCCAAACCCCATGCCAACTATGAAAAATCCAACAACACTACTCGATCAACTTAAATGGTTATATTTTATGTTGTACTTTCCGAAGTATTCCTGGCTCTCCAGATGTGTTATGTAGTATTGCTTCCAATGCTAATCTTTTTTCTTTTCCAGAGAAAGTGTTACGGATAAAATGCATACACAGCCATTGCAATTCCTCAGACCATTGACAAGATCCCCTAAACACAGCATTACGAATCAGCACTTTGTTCCAAATTGTGAACTGAGAGGGACTAGTTAAAAGCAAATGTCCAAAGCTCTCAGCAGCAGCATGACAAAATACACAAATGCCATCATTGAATAGGTCCCAAGATTTAAGTTTAGATTTTGTTCCCGATTTATGTTTACACATATACTTGTTATTTTTTTAACGCTGTTTGGTAGGAGATGAATAATAATGGCCTTTATTTCCAGAAATAAAAATTCAGCAGCTCTATTGAAGTTCCACTGAATATCCATGAAGATATTCTAAGTCTTTTGTTTCTTTAAATCACATTGAGTGTGTTTGGATAGTAGATTATATGGAATAATATTTTTTAAAAATACTATAGCACTTTTTTTTATGTGATATATGTGAGATAAAAAGATGGTTGGAAATTTAGTGATGATGCAAGTAAATAATTTTTTTTTTCAATTAAGTAATTATCCAAACCAGCTCTATTAATGTTTTACTTGATTTAAGTATGACCCTCAATTATCTAGACGACGTTTTAAGGTTGTCCTTTTACCCCCCCCCCCAACAACCGCTGGTTTTGCTTATTAGCTAGAAGCTTATCAGGAGAACATGAAATTGAAGTATTGAGTCTCTCTATGGCAGCATATACAGTTTGGAAGAAGAAAGTGAAATGTAGGCTGATATACAAGGAATGCTCGTTGAGAGGATTCAGACATTCACTGATTGTCTAAAAGCAAACATACATTGGAAAACAACAAAATAAAGATCATACAGATTCTTACCGCATCTGAGAGAAAAAATTAAGCTAGACTCATGTCAAGTACCAAAGCTGTTCCAATGTGCTTGACCAAATTCCCATTCGCCAGTTACAAGCTTCAGGATGAAATAGATCTACAAGCCTTAGACTAGTGACTAGATTCTGGGGTTCTGCCACGCAGGAAATCTTGACATTTTGTCCATAAGTACATCTTATATTGGGTTCTGAAAGTGATGTGCAAGTACACATAACGTAACTACAAGATGAACAAGATTATTCTAAGAGCACAATTGTATATAGGACAAATCATACTGATAATCAATTTTTTTTAATGCAGTAAGATATTACAAACTCCTGTGCACCTGACAAATATCTGGAAGTCTTCGAGTATTTTAAATTTTCTGCTCATTTGTTTAGCAGCTAGTAATATAATTTCTATGTTGCTGTTCTTTTCAGCTCTCGCCATTGTCAATTTCCAGCTCTTTTCCTGCATATTTTCTCCAGCTCTTAATTGCAAATAGTATGCAAAATTAATGAATAGCCATGGGGGCCAAGGTTACAGTTTTTAAGAATAGATCAGGTGTGGAAATGGGAATCAGGGTTTTCATCCCTCCAGCTCGGCCTGATCAATACCAGAAAATCTTTAGCCTCAAACCTGATGAGGTAAAGGGACTAAAGCTAAGGAGTTTGTGCTGTGAAGATATAAACGTTGATAACCCAATGTTCCTGATTATTTTCATGGATGGTGTATATACTGGTGTGCAATTACATCCATGTTCAAAAGTACACAAAAATGTCAAGAGTGGGGGTGTTTCTTTGAAGGCATTAAAGCTAGATTCCCTTGCTTTCTCAGACTCATTTATCAACATAAGTAAATATTTACCCTTGCTGTGTCATTCACTTGGACAAATGAAATATAGCCATTTGATCATTGTTGAGTAGTTATTTTGAATCTATGCAGGGGCAACTGCATTTTGACGGAAATACAAGGGAGGATGGGCTTAAAATGTTTGCTATAGTACCAAGAGGTATGTCTTAACCAATTAAATTTTCTCAACTTCTTCTGTTATTACAGGATTGAAATTCATTAGAGAGTTTATCCTTGCTCTCAGGTTAGCCAATTTTGAATTCCACTCCATTTTGTAATTTATCTAACAGTCATAGCTTATGAGCACATTAGTCATATCATATACTCTTTGCAGCCAACATAATTTACGTGCTAGCCCAAGAAAGATCCTTTGGATGGTTTACAACTTAAACCAATAAAGATAATATATATAGTTCTCATTTCGTAATGCCACTCTTTGCTTAAAATTTGAGGCTTTCTTCCTTCAGGAGACCTCCTCAAACAACTTCCTTTTTACTGCAGGAGACAATCCCAAGAAGTTTCTCACTTTCTGATGGCTTTATCAGGTTGCAGAAAAACATAGCTGGAGGTGATCTTTCAACCTTCAAAGAAATCAGCTAAAATTTTTCTTCATCATATTAATCATTTAGATAATAGTTTGTAATTATTTCTGGTGAAGGTCATCATTCTCCTTGTCAGTGTGGTATTTGCACTCGTTCTGGGGTTGTATCTAATATAGCAGGCAGACCCTCTATCTAGTTCAAAGTTAGTTTTGGAGCTTTTTTCTCTGAATTCCACCTTGTGAATTAGCTCCAGATGTTGAATATTTAACCATGGAATACCATAAGCGGAGGACTTTATTAGGGAAATCCAGATTCTTGAATGGAGAATATGATGCTATGTCAAGATAATGATTAGATAAATGACCACCTCTCACTGAATTAGAACAAATAATGCAAAATATGGATCTGCGAAACTATACATGGCTGGTTTAAACCAACTATTTTCCCGCTATCAATTCATCATATGCCTTTAGTTCTGCAGCACAAAGCATTGGCATCGAACGGTCTAAATATCAATTATAGGTTTCTCCATTACACCTTGTCAACAAAGTTTACCCTGCAAGAACTATCCCCTCCTCTTTAAAATTCTTGGCCATCCTTCAAAGTGGTAAAGAGTTGAAAGCCAAGTCGTACTCCTAGTTCATTTTTAGGAGCTTATTTTGGGGAAGATCATTTATGGATCCTTAGTCAAATCATACTGAATTGATTGGAGAAAAGGGAGTCTAACGAGCAACTAATAAATCAAGGAACCAGTCATTTATTATGGTGATACTAGTCCAGAGAAATCCAGAGCACAGTAGCAAGAGAGGCAGATAATATAGAATAAATCTAGGGTAAATGTCAAAGAGCACAAAAATAATATATCGAATTAAGAACTGTTAGGTTCATGAGTAAAGAGTTATGTCCCATATTAGTTCGAGAGATAGAGAAAGAGCAGTTAATATGTAAGTAAGGGCCCGAGACCTAATGGTTTAAGCTTTTGGGTCAAAATTGAATTCCTGACTTACATGCTGGGCTCTTTAGTAGATTCTCTCGAGGTGTTTATCCCTAACAAATTGGTATCAGAGTTTCAGGTTGTGAGACTGGGCTACTCATAGGCAAGTGGATTCTTCTCGGAGTTGAACTGGTGAAAATTCTCTTCTTGATGGTGGACCGAAGTGCCAAGGAGTTTGGTTGGTTTTGGACCAGGTGTGCCATGAGTTTGGCAGGGGGGTCCAGTTAATGTTAAACCAAGAAATCAAAGGTTGGAAGGAGTTCAGAATGCAGTTTGAATGTTGAAGAAGAGTGGATCCATGTTTGAGAGAAGATGTGATCTTGGTGATAAATGTGGACTTGCATTGAGTATTAAAGTGGGCTCGAAAAAGGGGTTGTAAATTTGGGTTTAATGTGAGGGATTACTCATGAAGGGAGAGATTTGTTAGATTCATGAATAAAGAGTTATGTCCCACATTGATCCGAAAGATAGAGAAAGAGCGGTTAATATGAAAGTAAGAACCCGAGACCTAATGACTTAAGCTTGCGGTCAGAGTTGGGTTCGTGACTTACATAGTGGGCTCTTTGATGGACTCTCTCGAGGTGTTTATCCCTAACAAGAACTTGCAAGGATATCTCGGATCTTTTCACAGGAACCAATTGATCCACCCAACAATGCCTGTTCACAATTCTCTAGTCTTTAAGTTTACTCCGGCTTCTGCATTTCTTTGGGAGAAACAAAGGATGACTACTTAATGGCACTACTCCTTTTATTATACAATTACCCTCCTACGCTGTGAGATAACTCATCCTAGAAAAATTCTAGTCACACTCCACACCCCCCCGTCCCCCCTTCCCCTTCATGATTCCATAGTCTTCAATTAGACTCAGGCTTCTGCATTTCTCTGGGAGAACGAAGGCTGACTACTGAAGGGTATAACTCTTTTACTATACAATTACTCTCCTACTTTGTGAAATAAGTCATCATAGAAATTTCAACACACCCCCACCCCTACCCCCCGACGCACTCGCAAACAAAGGACTTGGTGGGTAGTTCACCATTTTTCACCGTTTTGTACTGCAGGAGACAATAGGGATAACTGTTTGTATCTTCACACATGCTTTATCAGAGTGCAGAAAACCAAAGCAGCAGATTGTCAACTGACATTAAGCAAAAATCCTCAAAATAGACTTAAGGAGCGGCTATCATCAAATTCGGATGAAAGAGGGCGACGAGTGGAAAACAGCCTCTGAAGATCTTGACAAATTATGTAATGCCTAGTGGTTTGTTTAGTGCAAAGGACAATATCTCCTTGTTAATTTTCTTTCCTGGACAATAAAGAGCCAGCAAAACCCCATCTTTTTCCCCAAGCATTGCTAGTTTTGGAACTTTTCTATGAATTGCATGTTCAGGACTAGACACAAATTGAGAATACTATATGGCAAATCAGCGGGGGAAATGCTACCAAGTACATAAAAAAACTTGCTACTTCGAAAACGTCTTCTAATTCAGATAAAAGAACACCTCAAAGTTTATAACATCAAGACGACAAATTGAAAATGTTTTTAATATCAGGCTGGTTAAACCAAATTCTATTAAACGTTCTATTCATCACACACGATTAGTCGCAGGTTTCAGGAGCATTCTTGTGCCGGATAATCTGGATCTGCATCACAGGTTTCTCCGGACCTCGTCCAGGCACAAATTCACACACACAATCATCCTCCTCATCAATAGAGTTAACCTTGCAAAGGTTGTCCCATCCACCTGAGTAATATGCTCGGCCATCCTTCCAAGTCCTAAGATATGCAGGCCAAGTCCTCCCAAGTGGGTCACGTAGAGTCATATTTTCGGGAAGATCAAGTCTGAAATCCTTAATCACATCAATTGGAATGAACTGCATTGGTTTATAAAAAACTTTCTCATTAACAGCGAGTAATCATTTATTATAATTATAATAATCAACAGAATTTCACAGCTAAGATAAAACAAAGAGGAAATGGTATGAAATAGATGTATACCACATATGAACATGCGCATTATAAAATGAAATGTGGAACAAAGACCTCCATAAGTCCAAAAGAATATCCTTTTTCCATTGCTGTTGCAATCTGGGGAGTTTGGTGATAAGTAATCCAAAAGGTATCTATCTATCCGTAGAAGAAGAACGAACCCTTGGAATTAACACATCTTTTCATCCAGATATGCATCATAAATGATAAAAAATAACCCAACAGTGCTCACCATAGAAAACTAAACTGAACCTGAACTTACTATCCTTTCCCTGGGTGAAGGGAAATCTAGCTTCTGATTTCATGGCCATACACAGAGAGAATACAAATGCCAAGATTAAGGAACCGATCAATGCTCTATCAGATAAGAAAATGTACAATGGTTACTCCTATTTGATCCTCTCCATCTCCCCATATTGGAACCAAAAGTTGTGTGTTTGATGTCGTTCTAAAGAGCTTTAATTATTCACATTGATGTTACACGGTCAAACATGAAGATAGCACTATCCATGTAATCAACTGTCACAGGTAGTAGTAGTTCTGCAAGAGCATCACCAAACCAGTAGGAGAAGAATCATCCTCCTTGCACAACAATTATATATATATATATATATATATATATATATAAGGCATTTTGCACAACGACGAGTATAAGAAGAATACAAATTAGTAACTAAAATCAAGCAGGTACAAATAATAGATAAAAACTTAAATGCATTATACAGATAAATTCTACAAGGGATATCAATAAGGACATTGCAAATTATCGTACCAAAGCATTCTGTCTCTTTGTCCTAATCCTTGTGACAAAATAAGGATTCTCAGGCAGGGCATGCTCTCCTGATCTGAAAATGCTTGCACCATACAAGTCATGTCTGGCCTTCTTGTTTATCCCATCACTAGCTGAAGCGCCTTCTTGCCCTACAAATGAAGCATTTACATTAGTATCTGCATAAAAAACATACAGAAAACCACATGCAAGGAAAAAGCATTCTGAACAATGAAACAACACCATCATAACCTTACCATTCTTTTCACTTCTGTATTTCCTTGAGCCACTGGTAGGACTTGTTGACTTCTGAAAGTCTCTTTTCACACCATTGAGTGGTTGTTCTTTCTCCCCAATCAGATTGTCTCCATTCATATCATTGAGTTCCTGTGCCTTCTCTCCATTCCCGTTTCCTTTTTCCACCTCCAACTGAAACTTCAAACTACCAACTCCCTCCTTTTCCAATAAATTATTTCCAATGATTGTGAAATCAAAAACTTTCTCACCATCAAATAGGAAAACAAGAAAGTCTTGATGTTCAATCAAATTATCTTGAACCACCTTGGCCCAGCCCTCTTGGAAAAACCACTCACTTCCAACTTTAGCAAGTTCCACAGCCCACATGTTCCCATCGCAATCCCTGAGCACTGCTCTATCTGGCAAATTTCCTCGCATATATGAAGCATATGCTGAGGGAATATGCTATTAAGAAAACATGCAACATAGTTAAAAAGAAGACAAATATACACTATTCAGAAATGTGTCATATATAGATCAAATAACTATCCAAACGTGACCCAATATCAGTTTTGTTGACATCATCTTGCTGCTTACAGAAAAAACTGAGTGCTAAATCCACGTCCAGATTACTAAATTCTTATTCAGAGAAATTAGTGACGAAATTTTAATGTTGGTAACGCATAATGTATCCACTTCATGAAATTCATGCTACCAAAGAAAGAAAGAAAGCACTACATATCTGAAACTAATAAATGGTAATTGATTTTCATAAGAAAAGATTGAGGCAGTATTTAGTACTCTATCAAGTACACCAAATTAGCTTTTAAATTTTATACATAAGGAAGCGAAGTAGTTTCAGAATTAAGAACATAAACTTTTCCTTTAGGCACCTCTTCCAATCCCACTCATGGACTGTCAACCTATCCTAGCTATAAGGTTATCACTGCTCCAATGCCTTAAGGCTCTTTTGTGTTCGAATCAAGAATTAATATGGAAATGTCGATGCATGACATCATTCCTCACTTGCTCTTCAGGTTATTTATGTGATTTTCCATCATACTTTTCAAGTTACTACATTCCCAAAATCAAACTTGTAATTCAGTATCAGGATTTCACTACTCTAGAATCTATTTATGATGAAGGATCCTGCAATAAATTTCATATTTTTTTCAAGCCTACAAAGTTCAATTTTATTTTTGTTTTGATAAGTTACAGCTGGGTGCCAAATAAAACCATTGTTACTGGTTCTAGCAACCTTCCTACTACTACCAAAATAATTCCAGTGTGTATTAAATGGATAGTAGTACAAATAAGAAAGATTTTATTCAGAATTTCCAGAATTAGGTTTTCTAGGAATCCTAATATTCATCTCGTTCCTCCTGTTCTTCCATGATACTGAAAACATCCCATTTGGGGTTATGAGACAAAAATTACTAAGATTTCCATAATAATTCATCAAATTCTGTAATCTGAAACCATAAAACTCAAACTACACGACTGCCCATATATTTGAAAGAAAATTTAAGCCAAAAAGTACAAAAAGAATGTTGTGATAAACCAAATCATGCCTATACTAAGATTCACATCACCAGAAATCCCAAAAAAGAACAAATAAATCTGAAAGAAAAATTTACCAGTTTGTTGAAGTACTTGTTAGCATCAAAGACCTTGCAAAACTTCAAATTCCTCTGGCTCTGAGCTTGTGTGGCCAGGTTGGCTCTTGCTTGTGGGTTTGCCATCTTAATTCACCGGAGAATGGAGAAGGGATGCAAGTGAACTTCTTGAAAATCGGCAAAAAGAAGTCAAAAGCCGGTAATGCAAAGCAAGGCTATTTTTTTTCTTAGTTCTGTTCTGCTGCTTATATGGTAAGGAAGTAAAGTTGGTGAAAAGCTGACCTTATTATCATAAAGGATCCACTACAGGGCCTTGCAATTCGACAACTTTCCATTTCAGACCATTTCACGGCCAGGATTCAAAAGAGTCATCAAAGACCAAAACGACAGCCAAAATGCATCCACCTTGTGCCCATGATGTCATACTCTTTTTATCCCACCCAAATATCTAAAATAACTCCATAAATGGTGGCTGAAATAAAACATACTTGACAGCGTTTTTGTTCCATCTCTAAGAAATTTTCCTCCATCTCTTCTCCCGCCAATCAACTACCAAAAATCCATTATTTTATCATTCCTCAATATTTAAAAGGCATTGCTTTTGAGAGAAAAAAAAAAATCTCCCTCCCTCCCTCCCTCCCTCTCTCTCTCAGAACACCACCATTTTTTCAGAGGAAAATTTACAAGTAAAAAAAATCATTAAAGGATTGTCTGAATTTTGGAGTATGATGGAGTGTAATTGATTGTAGCATCAGGAGGGATTATGTTGTCTAAGTTTTTAATCTGACATCCTCTTCCAAGCCAAGAGTTGTCTGATAAAATGCTTCTCATTTTTTGGTATGGTAGTTTTGTGTATATATGCATATATTCTTTTGTTCCTCTTGTTCTGTTTTCTGTTGTTCTGATACTAAATGTTTGGAGTGCTCGAAATGTTTTCCTTTCTTCATTTTGCCAAATAGAAAGCACTGGGAAGAAAATAAGCAGTCAACTGTAAAATTGGATTGAGGAATTCAATAGTTCTTTAAAATGCACGTTTCGACCCTGTTCATCATAATCGATAACCTGTACAGGGATTAAGTATACAGTCAATTATAAAACTTACCTTAGAGAAATACTATTTACACTAGGATGGTCTATGTATTACTACTAGAGAAGCTCAAAATTCATCATAGACTCCAGAACCTATTGAACAAACTCATGCATAACCAAAATAAAAAAGAATATCAACAAAACAATAAGACTTACAGCCAATGCCTGGAATTTACCTATTGAATAAGACTCGTTGTTGACATTTCCAGTTATTGTACATCTCAGGCATTTAGTCGAACAATTGGTGTCTGTAATTTTTCACGCATACTACCAGCCATCAACCACGATGCATAGCATCCAATAGGACCAATACTCTCTATTTATCAAAGTCCATGCATCCAAAAATTAGGGGTTGCATTAACAAGACAGACAAATTTCGTTTTTTTGGTAGAAGACTAGTTAGTATTTGAAATAAAGCTATGTTGACTGATGAAAGGATAGGGAGCTTAATACCTTTGATTACAGCATGTAATCCCCCGTTCAAATCCACACTCATGTCAATCAGGCTCCAAAATAATCCCATTACGCTGCTTATCTGTATCCTTAAATTTTCCAATTGAGATATTGTGAAGCAGATGAAAGGGTAAAAGAAAGTCTGTTTCTTGAAATTTTTCGAGGAATAATTCTCGGGTAGTTCATCCGCCGGCCTTGGCAGAAATGACCGACTCTGAGGCCATTGCCAGCGCCAGTGAATACAAGACTAGCATATATGTTGTAGCAATGGCTGCTTTGTTGGAGAAGAAGAATCACACAATCGACAATCTGGTCCCCAGGAGGATGAAACAAATTCCTCAGATTTGTATCCAGAGTAAAATATCTCGCGGCCATTGAACTATTTTCCTCGTCTATTTTTTTACCGTCAAACTATTTTTCATCCTAATTCAGTAACTAACTAATCGATTAATCCGTATACCCATGGCCATTTCATCAAATTTACTTTTAATTTACAAATTAAACTTAACACACACAACTCACAAGTCAAAATCATATTTTGCTTTTAATTTACAAAAGTAAATTTAACATGTGCAACTCACATTTCAAAACCTAAGGATAAATATTTTATTTCAAAATTCAACGGTCACTAAATTGTTCTACTCAACTCACAAATGTGTATGTTAGTGGCCAATCCGACCAAATTCGTTGTTAACACTAACCGAATGAGTTACATGTGCACTGCACATGCAAAAGATCATAGGTAAATTCATCCAAATAAATGATACAAAAATCTTAAACAGCCATTGAACTACACAAATAATATATTTTTAACGATTTTTCATTCAAATTTTGTCTTTTTTTTTGTCCAACCATTCAAATTTTGTCATTAGATCTACTAGTTTCATTTAGTTTCAGGGTTCTTAGAATTAATTTGCAAAGAACTTGAGCATATAATTTTTTTGTCAAAAGTTAAAAATTGGAATCTATTAAAGTAACTATTATATATTCTAAATTTAATTTTTTGTTAATTGAAAAATCTAAAACTCTAGATGAGAGAAGAACCTAAAGAATTGATCTTATTTTTTGACACGTGAAATGCAAATAGAACTTATTCCATTAGCATTAACAGCAACATTTGAGGAAGTGACCACTAGCATAATGATTTAAGAGTTTAGTGACTGAATTGAAACAAAAAAATATATTTGAGTGGCCAAAGGTGTACAAGTGGAATAGTTTAATGCTGCCAAAGTTTTTTGCGTTCGGATCAAGAAATTCAGTGGACATATTTAGCCTTAGGTTTTGACACATGAGTTGCACGTGTTGGGTTTAATTTGTAAATTAAAGTATACTAATTAGTTAATTGAGTGGTCGACTTGAAACGAAAAATAATTTGATAATCAAAAATTCATGCAGGATATAGTTAATGGCTGGTAAGATATTTTGCCCTTTCTTTTATTTGGTCCATCTTTAATTGCTAGTTAGTAAAATTCGTCGAAGAATAGTTGTTTATTTCCTTTTTTACCTTAAGTCAAAGTGGTCAAATATAACCAAAACTCAAGTTTTGGGTGGTGCGAAGGTGACACTATTTAATCATGGAGTGAAGATCAATATTTAAGTCCTGATTGATAATCCAATTCAACACTTAAACTTTATAAATTCAGATTTTAATATGTTTAGACGCGTTTGATGACCAAAAATTGAACATTTAAATTAAACAAGTGCCATAAATTTTATAGACAAAACTTGCTCTAAAAAATAAGTGACAAATTATTCACTTATTACTTAATATCATATATTTTTAAGGAAAAACTGCACCAGTAGTCCCCCACATATCGCTGATGTGAAAATTTAGTCCCTCAGAATCAAAACGAACGATTTTAGTTCCTAACAAATAAAAAGTGCTTACTTTTCGTCCCCTGTCACCTTTCTGATCAAATTTTGGCTGGAATAAGTCAGGTGCAAATCACATGATTAATATGTAAAGGGCAAATCTAGTAACTCACTTCAATGTCTGCCAAAATGTAAAGGACCAATACACCAAAAACTTATGAAGACACCATCAAGGCCCCACCCTAAATCGAGTGAAACACAATTTGTCACGTCATCACTAATTCACCAATATTCAGAAGGGATAATATCAGAAACCTCCCCTGAGGTTTCTTGAAATATCACTAAGCTCCCCCCACATTTTGGAAATCTCTCTTACCACCCCTCAAGTGATTGTGGGGTCAGAAGTCACTAGTTGACTTCATCAGTTGCCAATAATACCCTTGTTTCTACTGTTACCTTATTTAGCTGATAAAAGGAAAAAAATTTAAAGTAAAGAAATTAAAACAATTAAATATTTTAATCTTACAGCTTTTTGTGGACATATACTCTCAAACATTCAATTTATAATAAATATATAAATGTTTTTAAGTAAAATTCAAAAAGTGTTATAGTAATTTCTTACGAAAAAAAAATTAGTAAGTTAAATATTTAACATAAATTAAATATTTTTAAAAAAAGAAATATCCCATAAAGTACCAACTCTTTATGGCTTTTCTCTATTACATGAACCAAGTATCAGGTTTGTATGGGCATTTTATTTTGAATCATTTAATTTATGTTAAATACATAATATTTGCAAATAAAATTCAAAAGCCATTACACAAATATTTTTACAGAAATAGCAGTAACCTCCCTTAAATATAAATGAAGTATTTGAAAGTAAAAGAAAAATTGTCCATAACATACCAGTTCGTTACGAGTTTCTTCCATTATATGAATAAAGTACTAGCTATTTATGAGCACTTTACTTTGAATCATTTAATTTATATTAAATACATAAATGTTTATAAGTGAAATTCAAAAAGTGTTTCACTAATATTATTATGAAAGGAAAACTAGTAGGTTTTGTATTTAACATAAATTAAATACGTGAAAGTAAAAAAAGAAATTACCCACTTTTTACTAACTCTTTACGGGTTTCTTCTATTATATGAATAAAGTACTAGTTATTTATAGGCATTTTACTCTGAATCATATAATTTATGTTAAATACATAAATGTTTGTAAGTAAAATTTAAAAAGTGATATACTAATATTTTTACGAAAGGAAAACTAGTAGGCTTTGTATTTAACATAAATTAAATACGTGAAAGTAAAAAAGAAAAAAGAAATTGCCCATAACATATCAGCTATTTATGGGTTTCCTCTATTACATGAACAAAGTAATAGCTATTTATGAGCATTTTGCTCTGAATCATTTAATTTAGGGTAAAATACACGGAACCCCCTCATAGTTTCGCGAAAAGACACCTTACCCCCCTATCATTTAGAAACCTACACATAAACATCCTAAACTTTATAACTAAAGTGGAAATTGACCTATAACCGACTGAGTTACCGGTAACCAGATCGATTCAGAGTTAAAAGAGGCGGAGAAAGGCCGAAAATGAAAGAGATGGAGGGTGGTTTCAATAGTAATCCAAGTTCGGCAGCGTGGTCAGCACCTCAGCTTCCCACTGACCAAAAAATCGGACGCATGAAACTCTATTGGTGTGCTGCTTTAATTTGCAACTTTGTTCTTGGAGGTCAGCACCCACCCCCCAGAAAACAACTCCAATACTACTATCCTTCTTTCTTGCGCTCGCGCTACCTGGCCTACATATTGAGGAAATCTTCCTTAATTAGTCTCCGATATTCTTTGAACCTTGATCCATCGAAACGAAAAGTTTGATGCAAATTCAACGTAGCGGGCCGCAACTGCTGTTGGCGTCTCTACCACCACTTTGTCTGGTGTTGAGCTTTGTGATTGCATCCTTGTCAACGCGTCTCTCTAATTGAGCTTGAAAGTTTGTCCATTGACGTTTGTCCAGAGCTGGAGATACTGCTATTGTTCATTACACGTAGCACCCATAGATCATTCAAAATTTTGGGGAGTAGATCAGCTATCAAATCTGTCCTCATACGAGAAATTTGGGCTTTGTTAATTCTTCCAAGTTCTAATGGAAAAGCTTTCACGAAGTCACCACTTTTCTACGTTGCATGGGACCTCAATTGCCCCGTAGTGCCCATTTTCGTCTTCCTCTTCCATGAAAGGGGTTTTATCTACTTTTTCCAAACACAAAGCAGCAAACATAGCCAACATCAGCATCAAACTCCCTCACGCCATCGCCATGTAAAAAAAGTTTGCTTACTTCCAAAGTATTTTAAGGAATATAATTTTTTTGGCGTAGGAGTGCGACTTCTCTGCTTTATCTTAATCCTATGACATGGGGGCATGCTTTATTTGACAAGCTTTTGATCCTTATTTCGCGTTTTTGTTGACAGGATACTGTGCTTGGCGGTGATCGTTTGAAATGGGGTTTGAGGCATGTGCCTTTTGGCCCCAGAAGGTTGAAGGAAAGGGAGGTGGGGATATTGGCAGTGGGTTCGATCTCCAGTCCGACCTCCATCATCCAAAGCACTAAACAGGGCTGCTACGAACGAAAAAACAACTTGATTCAAGTGTGGGCCTAAACCATCAATGGTGTGGAGTCAAATGCTAGAAAATTCAAAATGGTGGAGAAGATTTTGAATGAGAGAACAATCTGATTGAATAGGCATCGACTTGAGTTTGGAATTTGTTGTTTGCACACTGAGGTGCTTCGAAAACTTGCGGATTCACCAGCCCGGATAGTATATAAATCAATGGCTGGAAACTGTGCAATAAGATTTCCGGCAATCCTGGTTGTGTTAAAATTTGGCAAACAGCTCCCTTGGTGAAGCCCAGAAACTAGATTTTTGTTTTCTGTTTCCCACCGAAGAAAAATAGATTTTTGTTGTCCCATTTTCTGTTTTTTTTTTTTTTGCAAAGAAATACAAGTCGCCATGCTAAAAGAAAATACTTGTGTTCTGAACAAATTGTATGCTAGACTGACCAGTAGTAAAGAAAGGATTTGTCCAAGTACAAAAGAACTAAAACTTGTTGAGCGGTCATTTTCTGGCCTCACAGCCTCATTTTTGTCTGCGCGTGTCGTGGAGGGTTAGCTGGGGACAGCGAAGGGAAAGTAATCCTCAGGAAGAAGACGACGTCTGTAAAACTTGATGAATGACTCCAAGAGTTTGAAGGGAGAGCCAGACGACGGCCATAGGGCAATTGGTAAACGACAGAAAATGGCAAAGACCCATGCCATCTCATTACCATCCAAGATGAGAAGAAGATATTTACAATACTACAACTGAGTGGGAAGGAAAAAAAAACAGCACCCAATATGTCACGCACAAACCCACACCCGTCCCTTGACAAATGCTGTGTTATATACAACGCATCACAAAACCTCCCACTGGCTGCTGCACATAGGTGG